AAACCAACTAAAGCCCTCCAAAACATTTTAAGTAAACCAAAAGACCCAGTAGCCCAAGAAGGAAAAAAAGGAGTCATCTACAACAATCGATGCAAGGACTGTAACAGCCACTATGTAGGACAGACTAGCAGAGCACATCCATGAACACCAACTAGCAGTTAGAAGACATGAAAACTCCTTAATCTCACAACACATGGACAGACTTAACCATAATTTCAACTGGGAAACTCAGTATCCTAGACCAAGCTAAATCCAAAAATGCGAGGGAATTCTTGGAAGCTTGGAATTCAGAAAAGGCAGCCATCAACAGGCGCATAGAGATAAACAACATCTACACACTATTCAAAAGAGACCCTGTTCCATTCTAGCACTGAAGATGTTACCTAGTCGGGTAACAAAATGTTTGCAAGAAAACAACCAAGCTCAGAGAACCCCAAGGACTCCACAGTTCAACCCTGAGCTACACATATTCACTTCTATAGGTCAGAGGATACTAATTCATTATGGAGAGATTCTTCTATTTGTATATATTATCCCTCCTCACTTTAAGTCCTTTTGATTGTGCTAATAACAAAATAGCCACATGTGTGGATCTTTCCCCTCCCTGAGTATTTTAGTGTTCCTTAAAAATAAAAGGAGTTCAGGGCTCAATAGAAACTTTCATATTCATGGTTTTGCTAGAAAATACTGGCTCATCACAATACCCTAAAGGGGCATCTGGAAAGACAAGTGCTGAGAAAGGAAGCATATATTCCATGGACATTCCCCACAGTATGAAATTATTGCTAAATGGCTGGCTGCTTTTTATTTTTCTATTCTTTAAAGAGCTAAGGGAGAAGGAAGCAACCAGTGCCTTCTTCAGGTCATAAAGTTTTCCATAACATCTAAAATGGGATATTTTTCATTGTAGCCTTTGGAGAAAAATATCAGTGTTATGCCCACTTAGGTGGCAGTAAATCCTTTCCAAAGTTATATTCCTGAATAAAGATGCATAGGATTGTATGGCAATGCATTTGTCCAGATTTCTTTAGATTATCTTGCTTCCTATTTTGCACTGAAGAACTGTGTATAAACTGCATGACAGACTCTTAAATATGTTCATAAAATCTCATTACTTAAAACCACTTTTGAAGATAATATGGTTGAACTTGGAGACAGATTCACATTTTCATCTTAGCTATCTCCATCACTAGAGAAATCTGCACTATGGGTGTCTCAACAGCATCATAGTACAAAGGAGAGATTCTGAAACTCAGATCCCAGATAAAACCTTCACTATCTTCTATGAAGAAGGATGAAAAGTGGCTGTTCAGCTTCTTTCTTCCTCAAAACAGAACAGGATGGGCGTTAGACTAACCTTCCTCTTTTACTGTTTCCTCAGAAAATGAACAGAGGGTGTAGGAGAACATACACTCTGCTGTAACGTCCTCTCATTCTTGCTTTTTGCTTGGTGCACAAACAAATGCTAGTTCTTCTGGCACTGAGCTGCTGCATGTTTAACATAAGCAAAACACTGTGCCTGCCAGAATATATGGTCAGAATAGCTCCCATTCTGTTCAAATGGTCAAGAACTCTTCCCTGTAGTGCTATCTGGAATTTGATGACAAAAAGTGACTTGGTGGGACAGTCAGGCAACTACAAGAAAGTACTACCACTGTCAGTGCTGAGGGCCATAAGGCAAGGAGAAAGGTCCAGGGTAATTGTTGCCAGTTACCACCTGCCTCATACTACCTTTTGGTAGGGTTGGCACAGCTTTCCTGTTTTATAGAGAGAGGAAGGACGTATATGTAATCATAGTGGAATGGAAGGTAAGATTATTATTATCCTATTGCTGAAAAATGTGGCCATGGAGCATCAAAGAGCCCAAGAACTATATTTGAAGTTGTAAGCATGCTGAATGCTTTGTTCACTGATAGCTGTTGTTCCAAAAACTAATATGGGCTTTTCCATATGACCCACTGACCATGGATTGGTGATGACTTAACAAATGTAATTTATAGAGCATGAATCAGCAATGACACTTTCAACTTCCCCCCACTCCTCCCCAGGCATGTTTTCATGTTCTGCTTCTAAAGTGTTTTGCTGCTGCTTCTGGTACACTTCAAAAACAAATTCAACATTAGAATAAAGCAGTGTGTGGCCTTACGTAAGATTATGCCTTGAGAATTTACAGAGTAAGAAAAAGTCCATATTTGCTTCTCAGACTTTGTGTGAGATCTTGACAAATCATTTTTGTTAGTCTGTTAACTTCATCTCTGTTACATAAGGAGGAAGGTGGTACAATTGGAATTTTCAATTTAAAGGGCCATTGGACCAGAGAAATAGGTTTGCGATGCTTGTACAAAAACACTGATACCACACAAATCAGGCATAGCAAATGTTCTAGGGCTATCTGTATCTCTGTTGGGGCATTAACTCCCAAGGGTTTGGAAGAGAGGAGGTAGAAACCTTTCCTGCTGGACAGAACATGTTGTCAAGGCAAAGTCTATTGGCTGGGGAGAAACCGTTACGGTTCTCTCTTTAAACCTTAACCGTCATTGACTTCTAGAAAAGTCCAACCCTGCTGAGGCTGAGCATCGCAGTTCCAACTGTAATAGTCTGTGGATTGCTTTCTGTATCAAACCTAGGTGGGTCTTTGATTTTTCGCAGATTTCCTCTTCACAGTGACATCTTCCTTGTTCCACAGACTTGATCCTCTGCGTTATATTGAAGATTTTACGCTGTTATCTGTGGTTCCCATTGGGACAATATCTTACTGTTTCCAAATACAAGCAAATAAAACAATACAAGGAAGAAAATTGGTCACCAGAGCAACATAGTAAATCTGCTTCACTGTGGGGAAGTAGTTATCTTTCAGAGTTTGGATTCCAAATGGTACAAGTCCTGCGGAAACCATTGCCCAGGGCTGTTTTTTCTCTTTCATGTGTTCCTATCTGTACATACTAATCTGAAGATCCTGAATCATAATTTCCTGAGAGAGCAAACTTGAAGTAGACCAGTGTTTATCACTTTAGAAATAAAACACACCATCTAACATATAGTAGTTATTTTTACTGTCTTGGATGAAGGATATACTTAGGAATGCAGAAGAACATAGGTTTGTAAATTAAAAGATGCTTTTTTAAAATCCCAACCAAATATTGGAAAAGAATCTGCAAGGTTTGGCAGTTGTTAGTGAGGGAAAGAGTATCAGGCAGATTTTAAGAGTGTAATAATTAAGGGGGTGGTTGAGAGCACTCAAGATAGTATGTGTTCCCAGGACATATTCAGATACGGTTAAACAAACAAACAAAAAAAGATTAATTCAATTTTCTGGGTTTCTCTAATATATTGGGTCACAAATTATATGGGTTCAATTCATATGACACACTAAGTTAAAATGCTGTTCACTAGTTTGTGCTTCAGTGTGCCTTGTGAATACAGTTGTTGGATGCTAAAGCAATTACCATCTCAAACAGAAGTTAAGAGTGAATGGAACTGGCCTGGTCAAGCTCAATTTGGGAAGAAGTAAAGTAGGATTATGCTGCATGGTTAAAAAAAATACTGCTATATTGTTCAGTCAGTCAGTTCAAATTCTTTGGGATATAGTGGACATATTTCACCAAGACTGTCAGTAACTTGTTTATTTGAATGTAGCCATATGTTTGTGTCATCAATGACAGTGCTTAGCTACTTTGTCTTCCGTTGCACTCTTTTTTAATTGTCTTTGTTTTTTTCAAGCATCAAATTGAGATCATTTTATCATTTTTGGGTTATACCCAAAGACTGACTTTAACACCCTTTGGTTAATACTTATGGCTAATCCATTTCTTCTATTATTTTCTTTTCTATAATAGAAGATCTGATATCCCTCTGACGTGAAGTGACTCATTTCAGCCCATTTCATTTAAATGATTCCTGGAGTGTCAATGTTCAATTTTGAGATTTCTGTTGTGACATCAACTTTGCTTTGCTTTGTGGTTCTGACATTGTATATACCAATATTATACATATCTTTGCAAAATCAAACTTTACTTTGCCGCAAAGCTCATTAGGAACTTTAGTCCAGCCACATAATAAGCAACGGTATTGCTTGAACTTGCCATCTGCTCTTCCCCAGAAGCTTGTTGGGTGTCTTCTGATCTGGGGAGCTTATCATGTTCACATTGTCCTGGCTGTGGATGTGTGATTGGCAAAATACTGGAGTGCCTTGCCAGCTAGTTACGGTAGCCCAAGAAAGAGAATCCTGTGACCATAGACCACATATACATCACAGTTTAATTTCATGTGGACTATAATCCACTTTGCAAATCCTGTTCAGTGATTCTAGACAGTTTTGGTTGTTGTTAAATATTATTTAAATTTGTTATGGCTGCCCACTCCAGTAGGCTCTGGGCAGCTACTATTGCTTGAATTCAAACCCTAACAAGTTTTGACTGGTGTAATACAAATCTCAATAGAAGAATAATACTTCTTGAATGTTGTTTACCTATATGGTCCTTATGAAAAGATATACCAAGCAATTTTTGTAGTGGTCTATTAATAAAGTGTCTAACATTTTTTAAAGCAAATTTAGAATATATGGCTAGGTACACGTATATTTTGAAAAATACACATAATAAAATGTCAACATATTTTAAAACATTTGTAGCCCACACACTCTTTAAGGAATTTGCTATGTCAGGGCTCTCCCAATTTTATTCACACGACCATTTTGTCTGATAGGCTAGATTGAATTACAGGTTATAATCAATGGCCATTCAGTGAACTTCAAACTCATGACCATAAAACTACCCAATATACTTCAGTAACAAAAGTGGGGTGGGAGAGTAGGGGATGGGAGCTGTTATTTTAACTTTTAACCTTGAGATTTCCATTTCCATTTTCATTTGGTAGCACTCTGGAGATACATAACCTATCTAGATGTTTAGTTCCCTATCTTTTTCTTGGCAGATTGCCTGAAGCAGGTCACTGAAGATGGCCAGTAAGCAAGGGTACAGTTGTCTCTCAGATGGCTCTCTGGATATTCCAATATCTAGCCCCGAAGGCACCCCAAGTCTCAGTCCTCATAGTCCAGGACTATGTCTTATTTCTCCTCCAATTGCAGAATCTCACTGGCTGAGTAATGCTCAACCACAGCCTGAGACTCCATCAGAAATGAACATCACTTTGGAAAAGTTACTTGCTCCGATAACTGAAAAGCTCAAATATTTGCTGAAGAAAGCTGAGGACTTCCAGACTTACCTTCTGTACAGGTGGGTCACATATGGAAATATTGGCAACCTTTTGACAGCACGTTTGCTGAAACTTGACTTTAATTATTTTAATATGGCCAAAAATAATATATCTAAAACAACAGTGCCCAGCACATGTCAGCACCTAACCAACCTTAGCTGATTTCAAAAACCTAAACAGGATTGGACCTGGATAATACTTAGGTAGAAGAACACCAGAAAGTTCCACAGCTATAGAATTCTGGCAACTGGAAAGTTAAAAAAAAACACACACACAAAAGTACTTTCACCTTGTTACCAAAGCAAACTACGAATATGACCATTTAGTCATTAAGAATTCAGCTCAACTTCAGTGAGTCTTGAAGATAATATAGGGGGAAAAATTCAATAAATGAGCAAGAACTTCTGACACCCAAATCTTGAATAACAAAAATATAATGGCTTTTCTTCATCAGAAGTGAAAGATGATTAATAGAACAATTTTGGGGATGGGAAGGATTTCAATTCAGGCTTCTGGGCTCAAAATAGTTCAATTGTAAAGGTGTGCATTTTGTCTCAAGCTATAGGTGTGGATCTTGGGATTCTGATAAAGAATAAAATAGATCTCACAAGTTGAAATCTGGCTATGCAATGCTAAGGTTTCTGTATGCCTCACCCAGTCAGTAAAAAATAACCCAATAACAAATCTGACAGTTGCAAAAGCAAAAGACAGATGGAAATGAGCCAGTCCATGCAAAAGAGAGAGCCAAGAGGTCAGTTATACAGGGCAGGGTTATAGGTTCTTTTGGATGACTACTAATTAGAATGACCCATCCTCAACCAAGACATATTAAGCTCTGGATACAAGAACTTTTGATTTTCATTTCCATTCAGTGGTTGGGGGAGATTTTTCTTGCACAAAATAAGGATGTTTTATAAAAGGTACTTAAGGATATTCAGTATCTGCCTCTTTTATAGGCTAATATCTTTTTGCTTGCTTTCCATCTATATCTCTGTCTTATTTCCTATAGGTCTCATCTTATTTCTTGGCCAATGTCTTCACCACAGCTACTTCTGTATTACTGTTGCTGTGCCTATTTTTCCCATTAATCTACTCCTATGCCAATGTTCTTAGTTCTAAGGCTACACTTCTATTACTGTATCTATCTTCTGTTTCTTTATCTCCATATTGCTATATATATTAAATCTATTGATATAGCTCGTATTTCTCTATTATATTGCAATATTCTGGTTGTTCTTTCCAATAGAGCTGCTGCTTTATTGGGAACTGTGCTGTCCCCACTGTGGGGAAGGGCCCAAAAAGGAGGGGAAGGAAGAGCACAAGTGCTTTCAATCTGCCCAGCAGTTCTTCCTCCCACAGACAAGAAGGAGAAAAATATGCAATAAGTTTTGAATACTTTTTCTCTGTGTAGGGCTTGTTCTTAAAACAGCAATTGCTGAGATTCTTTGAATATGGCTTCCTAACTTTCTTCAGTAAATATGACTGATCAGAAGATCTTAGATTTCTTGTGTGCTTGTTCAGTAGTGCAATTCTGTCCCCATATTTCTTTCATCTCATCTCCAGTCCATGACTGATATAGGGATAAGTCATCCTTTGCTGTACCAGAGTTAAAGTATTTTTGCACTTATTCCAACACTATCCAACAGTAGCCTCAGAATGTTTAAGCTTCTGTCACCTATTAACCTGGAGGAACTCATGCCACTAGCAGCAACAAAGAGCCAAGCAATAGAGGCAAGATATAGATTGGCAATGGAGGCAGCTGATTTCATGCTGGTATCCAGGGGCATCCATGGGGATAGGTCAAAAAAGTCTAGATGGTGATTGCAACCATGTGATCCAAGCCCTGCCACTTTTTATGCATCAGTGTCATATACTTGTATAAAGGGGCTGGACTTTAGTGACATACTTGTGACTGCTAACATAACTTTTTTGATACCTCCCACCCTCCCAACATGACTGCTGGTATAACTTATTGTCAAGTCAAGGATAGTTGAAGAAAGGCCCTGTGTCTTCAAAATTAATTTTTAAAAAATCTGTATTTAACCCATGCATGCTATAGGTTAATCTGGTTGAAGCTCAGATCTAACCCTGCTTCTTATTTGGGCATCTGTCATGATTTGAATTTTTGGCTTCTGATTGGTGATGAAGAGGAAAACCCTTAATAATGCTATCTCATCCACAACTTTTTTCTTTTGTATTTGTCCCCAGAGTTTTCTCTTATTTTTAGACCCCTTTCTCAGAATAGGATAAATCATGAATTGAACATGCTAAACTCCATTCTTCTAAACATTTTAAATAGTTATTGTTACTCTTTAATTATGGTTTGTTTTAGAAAGAAATATCTAATAGGTTGGGAAAGCATTGAACAAGATAAGGCAGGAATTAGGAAATGAAAGAGATTTCCAAACTCTTTTCCCATTAAGACTGCCTGTAAGGGATTGCTTTCTTGACTCCAGCTTAGGGGTAGGCAGCCTTGCCCAAAGGCAGCGATATCCATAGATTCTTCCTTTGGTGCCTATCAAGCTCTCTGCTTGGTACCTCAATTAAAAAAGAGGAAGCTTTCACATTTTGAGCCCAGCCTGGAGTCGTTGATCTGGTATTCCCCAAGTGTAGCATATATATGCCTGTGCCACCATGTGTGCAGTCGCACTAGCAGGTATGTCACAGAATAGTGCTCTACAGGGAGCAAAGGCAGCGGCTCAACTTCCTCCTTGACGTAGCGCTCTCCTATTTTCAGCAGAGACAGAATGCAGAAGGAACAGTTTGCCAAAGCCATGCCCACCTTTTTGCAGATGTGCCAGCCTTATTTCCACTATTTGGAATCTACAGCCCGCAGCTGCACACCTTATTTAAGACCTCCACAGGAGCCAGTCCGGAAAAGGGTGAGTCTTCCCACTGAAACGCTTGGTCCTATTCCATCCAGTCAGGCTGGAAAAAAAAGCAGAGAGGACTACTCTGTTTGCATCTTTGTGGAGCTAATTTGAGAATGATGGAGGGGGAGGAGAAATAGATTCTAATATCAATAGAAGAAAACTCTTCAAAATCCTTATTTCTTCAGTTTGGGGAGGGTAACAGGTTCATCCCAGATGTTTCAGTTATACTATGGCTGTATGGTATAATCAGATGCTTCTTATGTGCAATACCAAAATTACACTGTAATTTCAGCTCTTCCCATCAAATTATTTATCATTTTTGTCATTGTTCTACACTTTTCTTTCATAAAAAATACCTCTTAAAAACAAAACAAACCCAAGTTCTGTCTTAAAGAAATTATACAAATATATTGGAAGGGAACATTTCAGGATAAGTTGGATAAAACAAAGAAAGTGATACTGAACTAAGAAGATGGATGTAGCAGGATCACTGGTAAACCTAATGTGTGAGTGCTTCTCCAGCTTCCACTTCCAATTTCTTCCAAAGTAGTTTAATGGACACCTGCAGTCATCACATCTTCCAACCTCCAAGTGCTGAGAATGCGCAGAGGTTACCATGAGCCATTTAGTGCTCTTTTCAGCCAATCAAGAGGGAAGTATAAGGAGCATTGTTTAATCAGTATCCCATTCCCTATATGGCTATGGGACTTGGATTAACAAAAATCCTCTCCTACCCACTGCAGGTGAAAAAAGGAAATAATTTGCTACCATCCCTCCTCAAATCCATGTTGCTATGAGGGAAAGCAATTATTAGGGAAAGTCACTTGTAAATATCCAACCTCCTTGATGCCATTCTTTTGTTACATTTAACAAAAGTCTCCAAAGGTGGAATGATAGCATATTGACATGGGGAATACAGGAAGGGGTAAATCACAAGTTCCCATTGACTATTTAGGGCTGCAGTGTTGTAATGAAAATACAAGCTTTTCTTTGGTTTTCAAAACAAATAAAAACAAATCCATAGTGGAGCCAAGGGGTGGGGGAAAACTTCTCTCTCAGAACCAGCCAATACTGTTCAATGACCCAAATTTGGAGCTGATTATGAATCAACACAAAGGCTTTGTGTGAATATGCCCTACGTTAGATGGAGACGGTACACATGCCTCTCAGTATGGGGCGTTAGATTCCCAGATTCATAAAGGGCAGATATATTCAGATGACCACTTTTCTGGGAAAATGCTCTATTCCCACAAAAGGTATTGATTGTTGCCTCATAGTTATTATCCAACATACAGCCAAATATTTGGGTGTCCTTCCCTCACATTTTTTCTTGCTGCAGAAAGTCTGTAGTTTCCTCAGAAACCTGTTGCATTTCTCAAATCATTCTAATAACTCAGTGTTTTGCAGTGTTTCAGTAGTCCTTAAAGGTGATCTTTCTGTCATATTTTTCTAGAAGAGTATTTTCTTACCATTTCTCCATCCCTCCCATTGTTGTTTTCCCCACATACCTCAGCAATCCTTCCTCATATCATTTCTACCCTGCAGGGAGTCTACAGTATGGGCACACTCTCAAAGGGTGTTTCCCTTATTCAGAGAACTGCTTGACAATGCCTGTCTAGGTTCCAAAAGGATGGTTCACCGTTAATGTGCTCACACTTCCCTGCCCTTCAGAGGACAACTTTGAAATACCTGGCCAGGTTCTTGAAAGGCTTGTATTGTCTTTACAGGACAGTCTTCCGTCAGCAAGAGATGAGAAGCAGACAAAAGGAATGGGGGGAGCGGGAGAGCAAACCACTATATGATGGTGCTGAAAAAATGGACTTACAACCCATGCCCAAAGTTATGGCCATTGCAGCACCCCTGCAGTCACATGATCAAAATTTGGGCATTTGGCAATCTTCCCGCACTTACAACCACAGGGTGCTGCAACTCCCCCCACCCACCTACCTCCCCCCCGCAATCTATGCCCTTTTGGCCACCCTGCACAGTGGCACTTGGTGATGGCATTACCAGGGCTGGGTCCCGACGGTAAACGGGGCAGCGGTTCCGGCCCTACCCCCCCTCCACACCCCCCCCACCCACTCCTCTCCTCCCCGCCTCCACCCCCCCCCCACCAGC